TGGTAGAATCTCCTTCCTTAGAGGTTTTTAAGGTCAGGCTTGACAAAGCCCTGGCTGGGATGATTTAACTGGGAATTGGTCCTGCTTCGAGCAGGGGGTTGGACTAGATGACCTTCTGGGGTCCCTTCCAACCCTTATATTCTATGATTCTATGATTCTATGAATCCAAAGCCTTCTCTCCGACACCACCTGCGTAGCCATTCGTTGACTTCCAGAACTGCTGCCGAGCCATTCGGTCCCTAGTCTGTAGCGGTGCATGGGATTCTTCCGTCCTAAGTGCAGGACTCTGCACTTGTCCTTGTTGAACCTCATCAGACTTCTTTTGCCCAGTTCTCTAATTTGTCTAGGGCCCTAGGATATCCTATGCCTACCCTCCAATGTATCTACCTCTCCTCCCAGTTTAGTGTCATCTGCAAACTTGCTGAGGGTGCAATCCACACCATTCTCCAGATCATTTATGAAGATATTAAACAAAACCGGCCCCAGGACCGACCCTTGGGGCACTCCACTTGATACCGGCTGCCAACTAGACATGGAGCCATTGATCACTACCCGTGACTCTTTGACCATGGGATGGTCTTCCATGAAGGAGGAGTGCTGGGCAGAGACGGGTTCCACCTTACGAAGAGAGGGAAGAGCATCTTTGCGAGCAGGCTGGCAAACCTAGTGAGGAGGGCTTTAAACTAGGTTCACTGGGGGAAGGAGACCAAAGCCCTGAGGTAAGTGGGAAAGCAGGATACCGGGAGGAAGCACAGGCAGGAATGTCTGTGAGGGGAGGGCTCCTGCCTCATACTGAGAATGAGGGGCGATCAGCAGGTTATCTCAAGTGCTTATATACGAATGCACAAAGCCTTGGAAACAAGCAGGGAGAACTGGAGGTCCTGGTGATGTCAAGGAACTATGACGTGATTGGAATAACAGAGACTTGGTGGGATAACTCACATGACTGGAGTACTGTCATGGATGGTTATAAACTGTTCAGGAAGGACAGGCAGGGCAGAAAAGGTGGGGGAGTAGCACTGTATGTAAGGGAGCAGTACGACTGCTCAGAGCTCCGGTACGAAACTGCAGAAAAACCTGACTGTCTCTGGATTAAGTTTAGAAGTGTGAGCAACAATAGTGATGTAGTGGTGGGAATCTGCTATAGACCACCGGACCAGGGGGATGAGGTGGATGAGGCTTTCTTCCGGCAGCTCGCAGAAGCTACTAGATCGCACGCCCTGATTCTCATGGGTGACTTTAATTTTCCTGATATCTGCTGGGAGAGCAAGACAGCAGTGCATAGACAATCCAGGAAGTTTTTGGAAAGCGTAGGGGACAATTTCCTGGTGCAAGTGCTAGACGAGCCAACTAGGGGGGGAGCTTTTCTTGACCTGCTGCTCACAAACCGGGAAGAATTAGTAGGGGAAGCAAAAGTGGATGGGAATCTGGGAGGCAGTGACCATGAGTTGGTTGAGTTCAGGATCCTGACACAGAGAAGAAAGGTAAGTATCAGGATACGGACCCTGGACTTCAGGAAAGCAGACTTCGACTCCCTCAGGGAACGGATGGGTAGGATCCCCTGGGGGACTAACATGAAGGGGAAAGGAGTCCAGGAGAGCTGGCTGTATTTCAAGGAATCCCTGTTGAGGTTACAGGGACAAACCATCCCGATGTGTCGAAAGAATAGTAAATATGGCAGGCGACCAGCTTGGCTTAACGGTGAAATCCTAGCGGATCTTAAACATAAAAAAGAAGCTTACAAGAAGTGGAAGGTTGGACATAAGACCAGGGAAGAGTATAAAAATATTGCTCGGGCATGTAGAAATGAAATCAGGAGGGCCAAATCGCACCTGGAGATGCGGCTAGCGAGAGATGTCAAGAGTAACAAGAAGGATTTCTTCAGGTATGTTGGCAACAAGAAGAAAGCCAAGGAAAGTGTGGGCCCCTTAATGAATGAGGGAAGCAACCTAGTGACAGAGGATGTGGAAAAAGCTAATGTACTCAATGCTTTTTTTGCCTCTGTCTTCACTAATAAGGTCAGCTCCCAGACTGCTGCGCTGGGCATCACAACATGGGGAATAGATGGCCAGCCCTCTGTGGAGAAAGAGGTGGTTAGGGACTATTTAGAAAAGCTGGACGAGCACAAGTCCATGGGGCCGGACGAGTTGCATCCGAGAGTGCTAAAGGAATTGGCGGCTGTGATTGCAGAGCCATTGGCCATTATCTTTGAAAACTCGTGGCGAACGGGGGAAGTCCCAGATGACTGGAAAAAGGCTAATGGAGTGCCAATCTTTAAAAAAGGGAAGAAGGAGGATCCTGGGAACTACAGGCCAGTCAGCCTCACCTCAGTCCCTGGAAAAATCATGGAGCAGGTCCTCAAAGAATCAATCCTGAAGCACTTACATGAGAGGAAAGTGATCAGGAACAGTCATCATGGATTCACCAAGGGAAGGTCAAGCCTGACTAATCTAATTGCCTTCTATGATGAGATTACTGGTTCTGTGGATGAAGGGAAAGCAGTGGATGTATTGTTTCTTGACTTTAGCAAAGCTTTTGACACGGTCTCCCACAGTATTCTTGTCAGCAAGTTAAGGAAGTATGGGCTGGATGAATGCACTATAAGGTGGGTAGAAAGTTGGCTAGATTGTCGGGTTCAACGGGTAGTGATCAATGGCTCCATGTCTAGTTGGCAGCCGGTGTCAAGTGGAGTGCCCCAGGGGTCGGTCTGGGGCCGGTTTTGTTCAATATCTTCATAAATGATCTGGAGGATGGTGTGGATTGCACTCTCAGCAAATTTGCGGATGATATTAAACTGGGAGGAGTGGTAGATACGCTGGAGGGCAGGGATAGGATACAGAGGGACCTAGAGAAATTGGAGGATTGGGCCAAAAGAAATCTGATGAGGTTCAATAAGGATAAGTGCAGGGTCCTGCACTTAGGACGGAAGAACCCAATGCACAGCTACAGACTAGGGACCGAATGGCTAGGCAGCAGTTCTGCGGAAAAGGACCTAGGGGTGACAGTGGACGAGAAGCTGGATATGAGTCAACAGTGTGCCCTTGTTGCCAAGAAGGCCAATGGCATTTTGGGATGTATATGTAGGGGCATTGCCAGCAGATCGAGGGACGTGACCGTTCCCCTCTATTCGACATTGGTGAGGCCTCATCTGGAGTACTGTGTCCAGTTTTGGGCCACACACTACAAGAAGGATGTGGAAAAATTGGAAAGAGTCCAGCGGAGGGCAACAAAAATGATTAGGGGTCTGGAACACATAACTTATGAGGAGAGGCTGAGGGAACTGGGATTGTTTAGTCTGTGGAAGACAAGAATGAGGGCGGATTTGATAGCTGCTTTCAACTACCTGAAAGGGGGTTCCAAAGAGGATGGATCTAGACTGTTCTCAGTGGTAGCGGATGACAGAACAAGGAGTAATGGTCTCAAGTTGCAGTGGGGGAGGTTTAGGTTGGATATTAGGAAAAACTTTTTCACTCGGAGGGTGGTGAAACACTGGAATGAGTTACCTAGGGAGGTTGTGGAATCTCCTTCCTTAGATATTTTTAAGGTCAGGCTTGACAAAGTCCTGGCTGGGATGATTTAGTTGGGGATTGGTCCTGCTTTGAGCAGGGGGTTGGACTAGATGACCTCCTGAGGTCCCTTCCAACCCTGATATTCTATGATTTTAAGAACATTTTGTATAGTAAACAGAGTTTTTAAATAACTTCTCACTGTCCTGGACCTAAGTTATTGGGAGCCAGAGAACTGGAATGCAATAAAGGGAGTTGTGTGGTTTCTTTTTAGCTTCTTGATAGCCAGTGTGGGGGAAAACAGGAGCACAGTTTGTGACTGGTTGGTGAGTCTAATTTCAATGTTAACCACCAGTTTTGGGACAATCTGTTCTCCTTTTTGCAGTCTACCCTGATCTTGGCATTTTCAGCGAGGGCTACCACAGGTACTCCGGGTCACACCTAGAACAGAAAGGGGCTGATACATAGCCGACAGAACATAACCCTGAGGAATGTTCCCTCTAATTTTTGACAGGCCGTGTGCGCAAAAAAATTCATCTGTGCAAATTGTTTTGGTTCTGTGCAAATTTTTGTGTGCATGGTGTTTTGCCGTGTGCATGGGGTTTAGGATCTGTGTGCATACGCGCACAGCTTAGAGGACAACAGTGACCCTGAGTATCCTTCCTTCTCTTTCCACACTTACATTTGAAGATCCGGATTCCTGTCCCAAATCTATGTTAGTGAAGAAGATTGTATCAGTTTGTTGTACCAAATTGGTGGAAAATCACTGATGTAAATTCACAGTTTGCTACTTTTTAGAAGGCCTGCACTCTGACTATGCCAGTTCATTCTCAGTCAAGCATGTTTCAGCGTATTTGGAATGTTTTAGCAAAACCTTTGTAGTAGGATCAGTGTTGAAAAAGCAAACCTGGGACAAAAGTGCATCTGTATCTAAGGGCACATATGAAACATCAATAGGCCTAACTACTTAGTAGGTTGGGGACTCATGTTCTTGGGTTTCACTGATAGAATTGCAACACTGTCATTTTGGACACTGCATCTTTTTATGTCGGGGGAATAAATCTGCTGTGAAGCGAGTCATACAGCATGGGTTTTGGATTTCTTTTTATTAAAAAATCCTACTAATTTATTGGATTTTTTGGGGATTGGGGAATAAAATAATTATCTTTAGCCAACAGAATATAATAAACGTACTTGGGCTCCCTATGAGAGGTGAGTAGGCAGGTAAAGCAAAGCAACCAGGAAAAATGACAGGCTTCGTATGACAGGATCACTGGCAGATGCTAGTTTTGGGGCAAGAAAATGGTGGCCCATATCTCTATCTAATCAGGAGAGCACTGAAGCACTTGTATGTATTGAACAGGGTACTGGCTTACACATATGCTCCCTTCCCACATCAATATACCCAATAGGGTAGAAAGTGCAGCGCACCAATTTGCCAAGCCAATGCTGATCCACTGCATATGTTACTGATATTAATGGAGGCTGGCTCACCCTCTCTCAGCCATGGTTGGGGTAGCTGGCTCAGATGCATCAGGCAGGGATGAGAGGGCGAGGGATTGGCTCTTATGTACTTACAGGGGGTATGGCTGCAGAAAAAAATAAAGGTGATATGTGGTTTGAGTTTCCATTTCCCACTCTCAGTCCCTGGGCTGAAGATGCTGCCCTGCTGGTGTGAGGCTGCCAGCCACAGCTGGTGGAGGAGATACCTAGAGGGCAAGAAAGGGTTACTGAGAATCACTCACTTATCTTAGGACAGAGGAAGAAGTAAAGATAATTAAATTAAGGCCCACAAATTGAGCCCTGCATTAATACAAAATTTGTATCTGCATCCAATCCATGATCCACCTAAGCGATCTGTGGATATCCGTAGATTGCGGGGCTTTAAATATATAAAATTTGGATCTGCATCCATCCACAATCCACAAAAAATGGTTCGCGATATCTACAGATTTGCAGGACTCTACCCACAAACCTCTAGCCAGTTGATACTGAAGTGCACTACAGTGAGTCAAATGGCTGGTTAGCCTTCTATAGGCAAATATGATCCAAAAGACTCCACAAGGACACCTGCTGTCTGATCAGAAGCTTCATAGTGAGCCCAGAGGACCTGGATTCAGCCCCATGAGAAGAGTTATTTTTGCAAAGCCTGTATACAAAGGGGCAGGAAGAAGCCTGGGTGTGTAGGACAGGAGAGAAAGGGAAAAAAAACAGACCCGTGCACAGGACAGATACATATTGCCTGTGGAAGGAACATGGCAGGTGCTAGCCGCTCCCATTCTCTTCTTGCACAGCTTAGCTCATTGGAGAGGGGAAAGGGGCGGTGTTCCAAATGTTACAGGTGAAGGACACATGCATTTACATTATAATAGCGTAAACACCCTGAAGAAAGGGGATATGACCAAACCGACCACTGAACAGATAACACCACAAGGGGCTTAATGTCTCACCTCTGGAAACTCCTCTTGGCAACGACTTCAGCATGACTGTCGTTGAGAATATCCCCTGCAGCAGCATCCAAAAAAATTAAATAATTCAACATTACTGCAGACCAGACAGAAGGAAAAAGTCACATGCAACAAGTAGAGCACCATCTAATGAGGCAGACGTGTGCACTCTGCCGGCTGCCCCAGCATTTCGTGGGTCTGAAACTAGTATTAGTACAGTTGTCTGAACTAGGCTATCCTAAGATATTTAAACAACTCATTTACCATAAATGCTTACTGTCATACTCTTGCACCATGATGCAGTGACTCTTGCAGCCCACTACCAACCCAGAGGACCATCACCTAAAGCCATACCTCTTTGGGCTATGATCCAGTCAGATCCTATAAGGTAAGCAGGGCTGGGACAGTACTTGAATGGGAGACCTCTAATGATCTCATTCCACAGCATTCAGAGCAGGCATGTATAACAGTGATGGGGAGTATATGGGTGTGCACACTGGAAAAAAATAATTTATTCACCACACTGGACGTGGGCCCACTGGAAATGAACTTCCCAAAGCATTTAGCATTGCACAGCTGTATGTTCATTAATCTCCTTTGTGCTGGGTTGAATCGCAGAAACCTCCTGGGAGCTGCCACCTAATGTGCCAAGACTACTTCTGCCCCTGCTTTCCTGCCCAGACAGCTTAGGACTTCAGTGCCCTGCCTGGTTTGAGCCAGACCTGCTAGCCTGCTTCAAACCCAGACCGAAGTCTGAACCACATCCCCCAACAGCTGTAGGCTTAACTGAAAGCAGCTTACAAAAGCGTGCCTGTCTAACACTCAGATACCCAATTCTCAATGGGGTCCAAACCCTAAATAAATTGGTTTTACCATGTATAACGCTTATACAGGGTAAACTCATAAATTGTTCACCCGCTATAACACTGAAAGAGAGATATGCACAGCTGTTTGCCCCCCCAGCCAAGTATTAATACATACTCTGGGTTAATTAACAAGTAAAAAGTGATTTTATTAAATACAGGAAGTAGGATTTAAGTGGTTCCAAGTAGTAAGAGACGGAACAAAGTGAATTACCAAGCAAAATAAAATAAAATACGCCAATCTAAGTCTAGTACAGTAATAAAAACTGAATACAGATAAAATCTCACCCTTAGAGATGTTTCAATAAAAGTTTCTTTCACAGACTGAAGCTGAACACCTTCCTAGTCTGGGCACAATCCTTTCCCCTGGTACAGCCCTTGTTCCAGCTCAGGTGGTAGCTAGGGGATTACTCATGATGGCTTCCTCCCTTGTTCTGTTCACCCACTTATATATCTTTTGCATAAGGAGGGACTCCTTTGTCCCTCTGGGTTCCCACCCATCCTTCTCAGTGGAAAAGCACCAGGTTAAAGATAGATTCCAGTTCAGGTGACATGATCACATGTCCTGTGAGAACCCAAGCCTTCATTCCTTCCAGCCTGACTCACAGGAAGGCCCGCCTGCAAACATAGCCATCCAGTCAATTGTCCTGGTTGATGGGAGCCATCAAGATTCCAAACCACCATTAATGGCCCACACTTTGCATAACTACAATACGCCCTCAGAGTTATATTTCATATTTCTAGTTTCAGATACAAGAGTGATATATTTATACAGATAGGATGACCACTCAGAAGATTATGAGCTTTGTAATGATACCTTACAAGAGACCTTTTGCATGAAACATATTTTAGTTACATTATATTCACACTCTATATATAGAGTAAAAAGAAAAGGAGTACTTGTGGCACCTTAGAGACTAACAAATTTATTTGAGCGTGAGCTACAGCTCACTTCATCGGATGCATTCAGTGGAAAAATATAGTGGGGAGATTTATATACATAGAGAACATGAAACAATGGGTGTTACCATACACACTGTAACCAGAGTGATCACTTAAGGTGAGCTGTTACCAGCAGGAGAGAGGGAGGAGACGACAGACCTTTTGTAGTGATAATCAAGGTGGGCCATTTCCAGCAGTTGACAAGGACGTCTGAGGAACAGTGGGAGGTGGGGGGGGGGGGAATAAACATGGGGGAATAGTTTTACTTTGTGTAATGACCCATCCACTCCCAGTCTCTATTCAAGCTTAAGTTAATTGTATCCAGTTTGCAAATTAATTCCAATTCAGCAGTCTCTCCTTGGAGTCTGTTTCTGAAGTTTTTTGTTGAAGTCTTGCCACTTTTAGGTCTGTAATCGAGTGAACAGAGAGATTGAAATGTTCTCCAAGTGGTTTTTGAATGTTATAATTCTTGACATCTGATTTGTGTCCATTTATTCTTTTACATAGAGACTGTCCAGTTTGACCAATGTACATGGCAGAGGGACATTGCTGACACATGATGGCATATATCACATTGGTAGATGTGCAGGTGAACGAGCCTCTGATTGTGTGGCTGATGTGATTAGGCCCTATCATGGTGTCCCCTGAATAGATATGTGGACACAGTTGGCGACGGGCTTTGTTGCAAGGATAGGTTCCTGGGTTAGTGGTTCTGTTGTGTGGTTGCTGGTGAGTATTTGCTTCAGGTTGGGGGGCTGTCTGTAAGCAAGGACTGACCTGTCTCCCAAAATCTGTGAGAGTGATGGGTCATCCTTCAGGATAGGTTGTAGATCCTTGATGATGCGTTGGAGAGGTTTTAGTTGGGGGCTGAAGGTGACGGCTAGTGGGATGGAAATTGTTGAAATCATGGTGGAATTCCTCAAGGGCTTCTTTTCCATGGGTCCAGATGATGAAGATGTCATCAATGTAGCAGAAGTAGAGTAGGGGCATTAGGGGACGAGAGCTGAGGAAGCGTTGTTCTAAATCAGCCATAAAAATGTTGGCATTCTGTGGGGCCATGCGGGTACCCACAGCAGAGCTGCTGATTTGAAGGTATACATTGTCCCCAAATGTGAAATAGTTATGGGTGAGGACAAAGTCACAAAGTTCAGCCACCAGGTTTGCCGTGACATTATCAGGGATACGGTTCCTGATGCCTTGTAGTCCATCTTTGTGTGGAATGTTGGCGTAGAGGGCTTCTACATCCATAGTGGCCGGGATGGTGTTATCAGGAAGATCACCGATGGACTGTAGTTTCCTCAGGAAGTCAGTGGTGTCTCGAAGGTAGCTGGGAGTGCTGGTAGCGTAGGGCCTGAGGAGTGAATCTACATAGCCAGACAATCCTGCTGTCAGGGTGCCAATGCCTGAGATGATGGGGTGCCCAGGATTTCCAGGTTTATGGATCTTGGGTAGCAGATAGAATACCCCAGGTCGGGATTCCAGGGGTATGCCTGTGCAGATTTGATCTTGTGCTTTTTCAGGGAGTTTCTTGAGCAAATGCTGTAGTTTTTTTTAGTAACCCTCAGTGGGATCAGAGGGTAATGGCTTGTAGAAAGTGGGGTTGGAGAGCTGCCGAGCAGCCTCTTGTTCATATTCTGACCTATTCATGATGACGACAGCACCTCCTTTGTCAGCCTTTTTGATTATGATGTCAGAGTTGTTTCTGAGGCTGTGGATGGCATTGTATTCTGCACGACTGAGGTTATGGGGTAAGTAATGCTGCTTTTCCACAATTTCAGCCTGTGCACGTCGGCGGAAGCACTCTATGTAGAAGTCCAGTCTGTTGTTTCGACCTTCAGGAGGAGTCCACCCAGAATCCTTCTTTTTGTAGTCTTGGTAGGAAGGTCTCTGTGGGTTAGAATGTTGTTCAGAGGCGTGTGGAAATATTCCTTGAGTCAGAGACGTCAAAAATAGGATTCTAGGTCATTACAGAACTGTATCATGTCCGTGGGGGTGGACGGGCAGAAGTTGAGGTTCCGAGATAGGACAGATTCTTCTGCTGGGCTAAGAGTATAGTTGGATAGATTAACAATATTGCTGGGTGGGTTAAGGGAACCACTGTTGTGGCCCCTTGTGGCATGTAGTAGTTTAGTGTCCTTTTTCTTTTGTAGAGAAGCAAAGTGTGTGTTGTAAATGGCTTGTCTAGTTTTTGTAAAGTCCAGCCACAAGGAAGTTTGTGTGGAAGGTTGGTTTTTTATAAGAGTATCCAGTTTTGACAGCTCATTCTTAATCTTTCCCTGTTTGCTGTAGAGGATGTTGATCAGGTGGTTCTGCAGTTTCTTTGAGTGTGTGTGGCACAAGCTGTCAGCATAGTCTGTGTGGTATGTATATTGTAATGGATTTTTTACCTTCAGTCCTTTTGGTATGATGTCCATCCGTTTGCATTTGGAAAGAAAGATGTCTGTCTGTATCTGTACGAGTTTTTTCATGAAGTTGATAGATACAGCTAAATTCCATCTTAAGTGATCACTCTCCTTACAATGTGTATGGTAACACCCATTGTTTCATGTTCTTTATGTATATAAATCTCCTTACTGTATTTTCCACTGAATGCATCTGATGAAGTGAGCTGTAGCTCACAAAAGCTTATGCTCAAATAAATTTGTTAGTCTCTAAGGTGCCACAAGTATTCCTTTTCTTTTTGTGAATACAGACTAACATGGCTGCTACTCTGAAACCTATATACAGAGTGTGTCACATCCTTAACTGCCCTTCTTTAAAAAAACAAAAAAACAAAAAAAAACCCTCAGGCCATGGGTAAGACACTAAGGCCTGGTCTACAGTACACAGTTATTTCAGAATTAGCCGAGTTACTTTGAAATAAAACTGATTCAGTCCACACAACCAAACCAGTTTTTTCAATTTAAAGGGCTCTTTAATTCGATTTCTGTACTCCACCTTGGCAAGTGGAGTAGCGCTAAAATTGAGATCGCAGTTCCGGGTGACAGGTACTGTGGACGCAATTCGACGTTACTGGCCTCCGGGAGCTATCCCAGAATGCTCCCTTGTGACTGCTCTGGACAACACTCTCAACTCCGATACACTAGCCAGGTAGACAGTAAAAGCCCCGGGAACTTTTGAATTTCCTGTTTGGTCACCATCAGCACAGTCCACCATCACAGGCGACCACGCAGAGTCCACCATCACAGGCGACCACACAGTCCCAGATTCGCAGACGAGCTCCAGCATGATCCAAATGGGAGGTACTGGATCT